CACATATGCAAGTATTTCAATATTTATTGTTAATACATTTAGAATAGAAATTATTGAGTCATTATTTTTTACCATGGGCAAACCTTTATCTCAAATCCATTCCTTCGAAACACTCACTTTTCTGTACTTTTCTAAGGAACAACTGAGATGTTAAACTGTCTGGCACTATTCAGCCAGACATAAGTAATAACCTTCCACTCATAAAGTTATTATAAGCAAGAAAGCATAGCTACCACAGCTTAGAGTAACTAACACTAACTTACAAAATGTGTTAACATGTGCCAAGCACTATCTTATGTTTTTACATGCATAATTTAATCATCACAACTCTGAGAGAGGTTCTATTATTCTCACATCACAGATGTGGAAACTGAGATTGAGAGGTTTATGGCTCAGAACTGACTCCAGACTGAAGTCTTCTGCTGAGTCAGGCCTTCACAGCGGAACTTCTCCTTTACCTCTTATAAATTCACAGAAGTCTAGACATGTCCTTTAATAAGATTATCCACAGTTCTGGTTGGATTGTCTGTGCCAATTATTTCCAAGCAGGTGTGACTCTTACCTGCAGTAGAGAAGCACCACCTTGATCAGTGGCTATTCATGTTCTACCATCTTACAGATGGTGTTTAAAAGAGGGAAGTGAAAAAGCCATTTGTCGTCCTTGACTATTTGACATCCCGTCTGCTTCTCACTCACAGTCACCACCACCTCTGAAAATAGTAGCGCATATACATTTCAAAGAAGTTACTTCTTTTTTTTTAATGTTTTTTTTTTAATTTTTATTTTAAAGATATGAGGTACAGTTCAGGGTAAGGTATACAAATGGTCATTGTACAGGTAAAACTTGGGCCTCACTTGGGTTCCCACTTCACCTGGTTTGAGATCAGATACTCTTATTGATGAAGTATGCTTCACCTTCCTTCCTACCCCCCGGCAGTTTCCCACTACTGCCAATCCCTTTCTTATACTATTGCGATAATTGTTCAGGGTCTGCTTATGAGTGAGAATATTTGGTACTCAGTTCTTTGTTTCTGTGATAGATCACTCACTATTAAAGAGTCTAAGTTCATCCAAGAAAGGGGGAGGGAAATGTTTTGCAAATCAATTAGATTTTTGTGGATTTTTGAAAGGGTTTTGTGTCTTTGGAAAATACATGGTAAACACCATTTAGTTCATAGTACTCTGAAAAAAAATATATAAATTTTTTTAAATTACCTAATTAAGTAAGTACTCATAATTTAACCACACAGTCAATTATTTACATGAAACATTATATATATATAATGTTATGTATAAAAAGATGATTAGCACAAGAGCAAAATGATTTAATTTTTTGTAACCTACTTTATGGTAAAGCTATTTTCTTGGGAAACTGCCCTTTTTCTCAGCTTCTAATGCTGGTTCTTTTCTCTAGAACACTGTAGAAACATTTTAAGTTATTAATAAATTTTATTTCTGAAGCAGACCCTAATAAGACATTTTTTCCCTCTCTCTTTTTCTAGGTGGAGGTAAAGCCATATGTGCTGGATGACCAGATGTGTGATGAATGCCAGGGCGCACGCTGTGGTGGAAAATTTGCTCCCTTTTTCTGTGCCAATGTCACTTGCCTGCAGTATTACTGTGAGTTTTGTTGGGCAAATATCCACTCTCGTGCAGGACGTGAGTTCCATAAGCCATTGGTAAAGGAAGGTGCTGATCGCCCTCGTCAGATTCACTTCCGCTGGAACTAGGAATAGCAAATGGGCTTCTATTTCACAAGGAAAGGAAGGGTGCATGTGGCTTACTGTGTCTGAAGATACTGACATGCAGAAGAAATAAGTGCATTCTTCTGCTTTTCACCCCAGCTATCAATACATGCATCTTTATCAGCAGCCAAAACACTACAAGCCTCTTGTTTTTCACCAAAACCCTACATCTCAGGCTTACTAATTTTGGGGATATTTTCATGTTAAAATAAAATGTTTTTTTGTATTTTCTCCAAGTTATTTTTATATATAAAGTTAAAATTAGATATGAGAATGTTTTACATGGGGGCAACACAGTCTGCTGCTATATAGTGGAGGAAGCGTGCACTTATTTCTAAACATGGGTTTTTAACTTCAAGATCTGCCCCAGTAATTTACCAAAGGTAGCAAAATAATAGTGAAGATGGAATATATCTGCTACAAATGCTTATTTTTATTGTTGCTATTTTCAGTGTATACATAAACTAAAAATTAGGGTTGATTTTTTTGCTCTCCATTTTGACTTGCAAGAAATAATACCTCAAGATAATCTGATTTATTAGCTATTTTTAAACATTTTTAATCACAAGCTGTATTAGCTTTGCTGCTATATAGATGTTATGTGTAAATGCCACCTATTAATATGGGATTGAAAATGTTAGAGACACACTGCATTGCAGGTAAAATGCAGGCAGCACAATATGGCCTAAACTGCCATAGTTTTAGAATGTGAAAAAAAAAAATGCATGTTTACTTACTTGTATACACCATATGCATGCACTAGAATTATTAACTAACAAGAGGTGAGGTATTGCAAATGTTCAAAAAGCTCTCTTGAATCTAGGTAGCATGAACAAATTATAAAATTTGTTTAAAAAAGCAAACTTGCATGCATTATTGTGACTTCAAGTTAAAAAAAATTGTCCTACATGTGTACAATATGCAAATTAGTTTTAGATTAGAGAGTGCAGCCATTTTGTGATCTGGTCGGTAGTGGAATTCGATTTTATGCAGACTGGATGTAATATTTGTAATCCCTGTGCAATTTTGTGATGTGCGGTTCTAATTCATGTGCAGTGATAATAGTATAGATAAAAGAATGATTAAAAGAAAAATACAAGAATTCTACAAAAAGTTGATTTTAGCCCCTTTGATAGTTCATGGTTAAGACATCCTTTATAAACCAAAGATGGCCAGCACACTGCTAACCAGTCACCAAATGTAAGACCCATATGAAACCCATATTTTAAAATCTGAATTTTATAGAAGAATGCAAAACTATAGTAAACCTAAGTAAAGTCAA